GCGTGGCTATCTTAAAACACAATTCATTATCCTATGACCACAGGCAGTCCTCGACTTACGACCGCAACTGAGGCCAAGATTTCCGTTGTTAAGCAAGGCATCTGTTAAGTGAATTTTGCCCCGTTTTCAGTGGTGGGTTTCAAAATATGTTCCTACTGATTCAGAGAACTCGCTTCATGCGTGTGTGTGCAGGGCTCAAACGCCGCCCTCTGTATCAAGGCTGGTGAACTGTGCAGACACGCCTAATGTGTGCAAAAGGGGCTCAGAAACTGCCCTCTTTATCAACGATGGTGAGCTGTGCTGTCTTTTACCTCAGCTGAGTTGTGGCAATCTGCTCTACCACACGAATCAGCTGAGCTAATAAACAACAGAATATAGAAGAGGTAAGAGCAGGTGGGCAGGACCAGCCAGAGGTGTTCCTGTTTTGAGGTTCCTCGAAGACGGGCCGCTGACCGTGATCGTGCGTGGCTTTGGTTCGTGCTTCGGCGTCAGAGAGCCCCAATCCTCTGGATTCGGGGCAGAAGCCACCTCCTAGGGGTGGTGGAGGAAGGGGAGACTGTCAGCTGGGTAGACGGGAGTCGCAAACCCCCTCCCGGCTTGACAATTCCTCCCTCCCAAAAATTTTCAATATTGGCACACCAGAACCGGTCAGAACCGGCTGAATACTACCTCTGTCCATTTTATGCCCTTTCTTGTTATAGTTGTTACCGCACTTGCTAAGTCAGTAACGAAGTTGTTCAATGAATGTGGCTTCCACCATTGAATCTGCTCATCGGAAGGGTCACAAAAGGGGATCACAATGGACACCGGACACTGCAACGGTCATAAATCTGAACCGGTTGCCAAGCATCTGAATTTTGGTCATGTAACCATGGGGATGCTGCAACCATTGCGTGAAAAATGGTTATCAGTCGGTCACTAAACAAACTATTGTAAGTTGAGGACCAGAAGTGGTATTCAGCAGGTTCTGACCAGTTCTGGAGAACCGGTAATGGAAATTTTGAGTCATTCGGAGAACCGGCAAATACCGCCTCTGACTGGAGATTTTGCAGTATCCTTCCCCGCTAGGCCTACCAAGCCACGCCCACAGAACCGATAGTAAAAAAAAAAAGAATCCCACCACTGTCGAAGACTACCTGTATTCCTTCCAGAATTTAAAATTACTTCAACTGAATCATTGGACAGAAGTCTTCAGAAGCAAGCAAAGGTATACATGCATTTTGAATATTTATTGCCATAAATTCCAGGGCAGTGGTTTCTGATGTAAAGTCTGCCTCTAATTTGCATCTACATTTTGACTATCTCAACAGTATGCCAACTGTTGGAAAAGGAAACATCCGGATTTCTTCTGCTTTGGCTTAATATAGCGAGAGTGAAATTAATTTCACATGTTCACATGGATGGGAAACCATGTGGCTTAGAAGAAGGAAGTCTTCTACGAATCTTATTATCCACTTGTTCAGTTTAATTTGCTAATAAAATGCCACAAGCTGCTGACCTTTATGAAGAGCTGGATGTGATTAAAGCTATAAAACAGTAAATGATTTACTGTAATTGTCTCTGAACAACAGCAAGCCATTGTGTGTGTGAACAAATATTCTGATAGCAGCTGCCACTAGCCATAAGAAAACGTTTTAATTATGGTACTTGTTTGTTTAATCTGAACAAAAACAACAACCATTATATCTCGTTTAGCATTGAGGTTGATGAGTTTTTATGTTTACTCATGTTGGGGTTTGCCAAAAACCTATTCTGATCTAGATAAGATGTCACCATCAAGACCAAAAAGTATTTTGAGAAAAGATTAAAGAAAGCTATAAGCCACAGTTTACAACCTCCAATTGTTGGACCCATGCAACCGGAAATGCCTGAATCAGACAATTTCCAGTTAATTTTAGCACCATGCAGAAAAATCAATCAGTAGGTTTGTTAATATTGTTCATTATAGAAACAACTAAATTATCTATTATTCCATCTTCTATCTATCTAGTCTTAAATGAATGGTTTATGAAGCAACCAACACTGAAGCTTTGAGCAAAGAAATCATAAAAAATAACTTTTAACAGTGTTTTGTAAAGGCTCTATAAAATCATTTTGTTGAAGCAACTTTTTCAAGGAGTGGCTTTTATCCTAGAAGAGCTGTGTGTTTTAAAATAAAAAGGGACCTCTTTTTAAAAGCAATTGTGCTCAAAAGGCAAGTTACCTCAATGGAAACTGAAAAAAGGGGTGGGTTTTTTTCTTAGGTACATGCAGTGACATGTTTGTCTCAAGGGGAGTTGTACAAAATAATCTTAGGAAATGTCTGAAACTCTGGATTGGGGTTGGTTTTCTTTTTTTTAAACGGTTTCAGTCACATGAGGAAAGGATGTGACTAAACCTTGCTATGATAAAATGATTATTTTCACATTAAGTTCCTACAGCAACATCAGACAGCTTTGGATGGACTAATTCAGTGTATTACCTCCATGCCTTCCGAATAGGATTTTATTACCCACTAGAATTCCAGTTTCAGATAACTGTGTATCTGTCTGAGGAATGTGGTGATAAGCTCTACTATTAGAAAAAAAAACTGTTGTTTTTTCCTTTCATTAATGTGATTATCAATCTTCACTCATTCCTTGACCCTGATGCCATGATTTGGGTAATCCAGTTACCTACTCCTTGTTGAGTGTGAAAATTGTCCTGTTGTTTAAACACGACATAAGCCAATTTTCATGGACAAACTGGTGGATTCTTTCATTTAAAAGGGTTTCCAGTGCAAGAACAGAATAAACGAACCAGCAGCAGTAAACATCTATATGCAAACTATAATAACAATTGGAAGAATTTCACTCTGATCAAAGAAACTAAAAAACAAAAATGGAAGGGAATATTAGTAGCTCAGGGTTGAATGGTGTACTCTGAATTTGTTTTCCTGCAAACATTTCATTACCCAATTAGGTAACATCATTACCTAGTGCTAGTGAGTGTATGGTTTGCTCCTTGTTTATGTACATTGGCCTTGCCAATGTTGGTGAGAATGTAATTTTGTCCTTGGTTGTTCTTTGAAGAGAGTATTCTTTTTTACTTGGCTGTTTGTCGGGTTTTAATCCCTGCTTATCAGGGTATTGGTTGCTGGAGAGGATGTCTTCTGATCTTTTTATTTCCTTCTTAACTTTTTTATCATCTCTTTTGAATGGTGTATAAATGTGATATGTCTCTATGTGTCTCTATGTGTTGATGGCTGATTTGTCTGAATGACAAGCTCCCAGGAATTACTACTGGTTTTGGATTTAGCTTGATCTAGCATGCTCATCACAGTTTCCCAGGTGAAACGATGGCTGAATCCATGTGTTGTGAAATTAAGGAGTTTTCATTGTGTCCTGTGACTGCTGGCTGGTTGTCAGAAAAGGGGAAAAGGGGAAAAGGGGGGGGGGATCAAGAAAAAGAATTGGGTGTCTTGAACCCTGAATCTGGGTTTACGTATTACTCAAATCTAGGGTTTCAAATCCCCCTCAAAGAAACTGTGAAAATGTGACGAAGTTCCATGAGCGACTGACTAACAACAACAAAATGCAGTCAATTTTCTATTATGAAATTTTGCCTCTTGATTAAGAGTTCTCGAACAATTTTTTTTTTTTTTTTCAAACATTCTAAGTGTGGAAATTTGAAAATCCATCCCCTGGATATAACACAATTTATTTGGTTTTGGTATACCAAATTGTGTGGACCTACTCACTTGTTGAACTTGATGCGTTTCAGTTAGGATGTACAGTAAATACATCAATTATTTTATTCCTCAGCAATTTTAAAAAAAAAGGGTTGCCCAGGGCAAGAAACCTCTTGTCAGGCCTGTGTCGGTTCTGCATAAGAGGGTTTGCAATATTTACAATTTCCTTTAAACCTTGCTATTTTCTTTTTTTGAAATCCCACGTGGGTCTCACACTTTATGAATCCGTTTCAGAGACATACTTCCTTGCTGGTAAAAAAGCAAGAAGCGGAGTGGCTCCATGATTAGAGTCTAGAAAGATCAAGTACACAGTTCCTCACTTAGACAGCTTCAGGTGCATCTTAAAGCATCTGCAGGTAATTATCTCCTAAGCATTTTGTCCAGCACAATCACATTTTCCTCTTTCAGGACTTTGCACTGCAATTTTCCCCCAGCATTAAAAATAAAATAAAAAATATTGCTTTACAAAGCAATATCCAGACTAATAATTTCAGCCATGACAGCAAACAATCCTCCTTGCTCCTTTAGCATAAATTTGGCATAAATCTCTGCAGCAGCCCAGCTCCTCAAGTTTAATATCATAAAATCCTGCAGCTGGAAAAAGACCCCAAGCCTCATCTGGTAGTCCAATTTCGGGCAGCAACACCGCCATCCCGGTGGCTGCCCGGTGTCTTCTTAAAATCCGGGCGCGATGGAGAAGACGCCACCCCTGCAAGGTAGACTCTTTCTCCTCCCCCCCCCCCCCCCATCTTTAACCGTGAGGAAGTTTTTCCTTAAGTGGATGCAAAATGTAGAAACCTGCAAATTATACACGCGGCTAAGATCAAAGAAGAAAAAATCACAAAAACCCGGAGGAAGAGAAATAGGACATTAGCAACCCCGAAACAAACAAACAAACAAGATACCAGCAGAGATGCTGACACACGTTTGCAGACACGTCTGGATGCATCCACGCGGGTCGAGTAAGAGAACAGGAAACCTGAGAGGACTCCACGGAGCAGCATATCCGCGTCCTTGGTCGTCCTTACCTCTACGGGCAGCCTGCAGATGTCCATCGCCGGCCGGAGGTCATAAGACGAGCAAAAGACAAGAGATGGATAAAGAAGCGGAGCCGCCTCCAACGGCCGGCCCCGCCCGCGCCCCGCCCACCAGCTCTTGCTCCTCCTCCCCCGCGTTCCAGGATCCCCCCCCCCCCAAGACGATGGCGCGATGCTTTTCGGGAACTGTAGGCATTCCAGAGAGAAGCGTTCCTTGGCGCGGCGCTGGTTGTGTGACGCCAATGGCGCCGCACCGGAAGTCCCGCTGGGTTGAGTTGGTGGTGGATTTGCCTGCGTGCCCTGTAGGTTGGATCGGGGAGTCGTCATGGCGGTGAGTCGGGCATGGGGGATGGGGGAGGGCTGGATCAAGCCGGGGTGGTGGTGGGAGGAGCGGGGGGATATTTAAATCAAGATCGAGGGACGGTGATCATTTTTAATAAAAATTATATGGCTTTTTATCCCCCCTTCCTCCCCCACCCCCCAGCCCAAAGGAAAGGTAGGAACCAAAGGCAAAAAGCAGATATTTGAAGAGAACAAGGATACGCTCAAGTTCTACCTGCGCATCATCCTAGGGGCGAATGTGAGTATGGGGCGCTGGATCTCGGGAGTGGGACGGCGGGTGGGTGGGGAGACGAGCCAGGGCAGCCTGGTTATTTTGGCTCAGGGAAGAAGATCTTGGAACATAGAACAACAGAATTAGAAGGGACTTTGGAGGGCATCTGGTCCAACCCCCGGCCCGCTCGCTCGAACAGGAGAGTCTATTCCAAATATTAGCCTCTTCTGCCTAGGTTCGAACTCACAGCCTCCTGATTGTGGGGCGAGAGCTCCAACTCTTAGGCCACTACACTGGAGATCTGCACTTCTGATAGAGGCTGTTTATTTCGAGCAGTCAATCAAAACTGTTGTTATCATAACTGGTGTCATCACAAAAGAGGACCTGGCCTGGGTCGCTCACATTGCAGCCCTGGTCAAAGGGGCCCAGCAGAGATTATACTACCTGAGACTTCTCAGGAAACAACAACTGTGAGTGAAAAACTGCTGGTGACCTTCTGCAGCTGCACCATAGCGAGTATCTTAACTGACTGCCCCTGTGCATGGTTTGCCAATTGCCCAGGGGCAGATAGGACAGCACTCCAGAGGGTTAATGTCATTGCCCAGAAGATCATTGGTTGCCCTCTCCCCTCTTTGGAAGAGCTTTATAGCTCCCCCTGCCTTAAGAAAGTTCAAAACATTCTCAAAGATCCATCTCATCCTGGGCATCCTTTTTTTTTTTAACTATTACCATCTGGCAGATGGTACAGAATAATAAAAACAACGACAAATAGGCTGAAAAACAGCTTCTATCCCAGAGCAGTAACTATATTGGATTCTATTGTATAGTGCAGTACTAATGCAATATCGGGGGTTTTCAATTCAATTGCATAGAATGTGAAGGATGTGTGTTTTTGTTTTATTTTTATAGTTTTCTTATGTATGATGTACACTGAAGATGGCATTTAATTTTGTTGTATGAGGTGCAATGTTAAGTAAATCTTAAATCTTAAAAAAAAAACACCTTAAAAGCTGCAGCTGTCACTTTTCCCCCATTGGTGGCAGCAGTGGTTGCTCAAGTCCCAGTCTATAAAGTCCTATTTCTAAAGGTAAAAAGTGGAGTTGGAGTTTGATTGGGTGATTGGCAGGTTTAGATTTAGAATACTTTTTAGACCAGCGTTTGTCAACCTTGGCGACTGGAAGATATGGGGTTTTCAATTCCCAGAATCCCCTGGCCAGCATTTCTGGGAGTTAGAACATAGTACGTCATCACTGTTGGAAAGGACCTTGGAGATTGAAGTCCACACATCTTGAAAGTGACTAATTTGAGAAATGGCTTTCAACAAAGAGTTCAACCTCTGTTTCTCTTTCTCTCTTATTTGGATATCCCTTGTTTCCAGGCCATTTACGGAATTGTCAACCTTGGGATCTTCTATATAACAGCCACCATTTGGACGTGGGTGAGTTCTATATATTTTCAGGCCATTATTTCTTTTGAGCCAGGGACTGTCAATGTGCGCTGCAGAGAGAAGAAAAAAAATAGATTCAAGTGTGTTCTTTTTGTTTCGCTCCTCTCTACAAGGAAATAAGTCTTTATTGATCTGTTTAAAATATTGGCTAGGAGAATATGAGATTCATATTCAACAGCTATCTCTCTGCCCCCATCAATCCTCCAGAGCTTAGATTCTGTATCATGTTTGTAAACTTGGGAGGCTGCATATTTAACCATCAGTAAAGCATGCTTCCATTAGTACTGTCTTAATCCTTAACAGAAGTACTTGTATCCAGTTGTGCCCCGTAATCCTGGTTAAAAAGATTGCACTAGCTACAAAATGTGTTTGTCTTCAGGTCTATCTTTCCAAAAATACAAACCTTTGTGCACTTCTCAAACTTTGTGTACTTTACTGAAGTAAGAGTATCTCCGAAGGGTTTTACTGTTTTTTTCCTGGCTGATTTTCATATCCTTCTCTTAGGTTGCCTTTGTGTTCAGCTTGATGGTCTACGGGGCCAGTTACCAATCCATGAGATCAATGGCAAAGCCTACTTTTGCAGAGGGCGGTAGCCTCGCCGATGGCGGAATTGATCTGAATATGGAGCAGGGAATGGCAGAGTGAGTGTCAACACTACCTAAGTTCAGGTGAGCAGATCCTGCTGCCTGAGCGCATACGTAGTTTTCCTTCCTAGCCTCAACCAGTGGAGGTACACATTGGTCCCAGGGCCACTTGCATCTCCTTGTGTGTGACCCCCCCAAACCCCCACCTTTTAAATAGAATGGTAATTTTTAACATGACATAAATTATTAAATTGATAATTATGTTAACAGTTGGGTTCTTGGTGTTCACTGAGCTTGGTTGTTTTCTTGCAGATGTTTCATTACTAATTGAGGTAACCTTGTCAGTGTGCGTGGGAGAGTGGTGTTCAGCAAACTCTAACCCTAAGCAGTCTATTCCATTGCTGAATATCTTCTGCCACTAAAAACTTTTCCTCTAATGTTCAGTTGTGATCAAGATCCCTGCACTTTCTGTCTGTTAAATCCAGTCCTGCCTCCTGGAATAAACAGATGACAAATCTGCTGCATCGTCTGTGTAACTTCGGATATTTAATAACTCCCCAGTCTCTCTTTGCAGCTAGTCCTCAACTTTACAGCTGGTCCTCAACCATAATTGGAACCAGAACCTCCATTGCTAAGCAAGGCAATTTTTAAGGGAGCCATGCCCAATGTTATGATCCTTTTTGTCATGGTTGTGAAGTGCAAATCATGGCAGCTGTTATGTGAATCATGTCATTAAGTGAATCCAGCTTCCTCCGTGGACTTTGCTTGACAGAAGACAGCTGGGAAGGTTGCAAATAACAATGCCATCTCCCTGGGATCCTGCAACAGTTGCAAAAACATACTGGTTGCCAAGTGCCTGAATTTTGGTCATACAACTGTCAGGATGTTGCATCGGTCCTTAGTTTGAGGACAGGCTACATCTCACTTTTGTTAGTGCTGTTGTAACTTCAGTTACTAAATACATGGTTGTAAATGGATGACTACCTGTAATTTTCTCCAGATTCACCCTTCCCAGGTCCTTGAACTATTCTTCCTAGGACTTCATTCAACACTATTTGCTTCCAATTGTTAACAATCCCAAACAGATCTCCTAAGTTGCATTAACAGAGGGATGCAATCTAGATCAAGTGAGGTACTAATACCACTCTATAAAGCCTTAGTAAGACCAGACCTAGAGTGCTGCATCCAGTTTTGTTCACCACATTGTAAAAAAGATGTTGAGACTAGAAATAGTGCAAAGAGCAACCAGGATGATTAGGGGACTGGAGACTAAAACATACAACGAATGGTTGCAGGAACTGGGCTTGGCTAGTCTAGTGAAGAGAAGGACCAGAAGAGACATGATAGCAGCCTTCCAATATTTGAGGGGCTGCCACAGGGAGGAGGGGGGTCAAGCTATTTTCTAAAGCACCCAAAGGCCAGACAAAGAACAATGGATGAAAACTGAACAGGGAGAGATTCAGCCAGAAAATAAGGAGAAATTTTATGACAGTAAGAACAATCAACCCATGGAACAGAAGTTGCCTTCGGAAGTTGTGGAAGTGTCACCACTTGAGACTTTCAAGAAGAGATTGGACAGCCATTTGTCAGAAATGGTGTAGGGTCTCCTGCTCGGGCAGGGGGTTGGACTAGATGACCTATGAGGTCCCTTCCAACTCTGATTATCTGTTACCTGTTTTAAGTCTTTTTCAATAATCCAGAAATGTGCAGCGAATCTGTGATTTCTTAGCATAACCTGAAGAAGACGTGCCTCTTATCCACCTTAACCAGACTGTTGTAGGGCTCGCCTCCTGGTCTCATGTCAATCCTATTCAGGCATATTTTAAATTTTTGATTCCACATACCTTTTTTTTTTAAGCCAGTCTTTTTCGTTTCTGGGATGGAACGTTGGAGAACGATAGAAAACACTGAGGTTTTTGCCTTCTGCTCTAATAAAAATCAGCCTTTTTTTTTTTTCCTACCCTCAGGCACCTGAAGGATATGATTTTGCTTACCGCCATTGTCCAAGTGCTCAGTTGTTTTTCCCTCTATACGTGGTACTTTTGGCTCTTGGTAAGTTTCTTTTCTTACTTATTTGTCCACAGCCCGTTCTTCCTCTTTGCAGCTACATCAGGGAACCCGTGTGGGTCAAGCGTTGACCTAGAAAGCAAGAGACCATGAATTTGAGTCCAGATAGTTGGGAGCAGTATGCTAACCCTGTAAAATGCGTAGAGAAGGCTGTAAACAGGTGTGGGATCTGACTGGAATAACCACCGGCTTGGGGAGCGTGCGCATGCGCATCAAATGCACGTTGCACACGTGTGTGCCTATCAGCTCCGGCAAGCACTTGACCACCTCCAGCTGACGAGTGGCACTCAGCTGGGTCGCGCAAAGCAGCCGAGGAGGAAAACTCAGCCGCTAAAGGACACCGTAGAACCCAGGTGGTCAGGCGGGAGGGCCAAACAGCAGACCCAAACCTCGTTCCAGAGAACCGGTTTGGTGTCATCTGCTCTTCGGAGCTACCAGTTCTATAGAACCGGACTGAACTGGTAGGATCTCACCCTTGGTTGTAAAAGCACTGTGAAGCGGTATATAAGCCTTAAGCACTGTTGCTAAAAGGGATGTCATTCCTTAACTAGCAAAAACCCAGCCAGTTTTGGGGCTAATGCTCAGCTGTGCAACTTCGCTTGTGGCGCACCTTAATAGGGGGGGTCCCTGTTTTTTGGTTACTTCTTGCAGGCTCCAGGGCGAGCGCTCTATCTCCTTTGGGTGAACCTTCTGGGGCCTTGGCTCACCGCGGAATCGCCAGCTGTCAATCAAGAGCCCAACGAGAAGAAACAGCGCCGGCAAGAACGCCGGCAGATGAAACGGTTTTAGCTGCGCTCCTGAGCATGAATGTCACGCCACTTGGGGGGGTCTCCATGTGGCTGTTTTATCAGGGATTTGAACCAATCAGAAAACATCAGGGGATTTTTTTCCCCCCTCCCCGTCCTCCCTTATTCTTCCCCTGGTCCCTGTTCATCCTAAGGCTAGAGGTCTTGCCACGGGCGGGGGTGGGGGCGAGCCCCAGGCAAATCTTTCTGCTTTTTTCCCCCTGCCTTATGGCAGGGGGAGGGGGATCGTGGTGAGAAGGCTGCGGGTGTGTAAATACCTTTCTAAAATGAGGCTGTAATGTGAATCGGACGATGAAGGCCTTTCCGTGTTGGAAGCAGTGACGCATTAAAGAGAGATGCACGCACGCGCAAAATGTTTGCCATGTGAAGGCTTGCAGTTCTCGTGGGTTTCAACCTTTGGCGTCTTCATTTACACTCCTGTTTTCCCGATCGTTCTAGGGAGGCGTGGGGTTCTCACTGGAAGTGCCAAACAGGAAGTAAGCTCAAAGAATAACGGAAGACGGGGGGGGGGGTTTATATTTAAACATCATTTTGCAAAAAGAAAGGGGGGACCGCAGGAACATCTGGTAGAAGGGAGATTTCCTCATACATTGTTGTAAATCCCTTTCTTTTCTCCTTCCTCCAATAGAATGTTGAGCGTAATGTGGTTTAGTTTTGCAAGGAGTGGATGCAAGGATCACGGATTTTCTCCCAGCCTGATCTTTTCCGACAAAGGAATTTGGAATCTCCTTGGTGGTGGTAGAACAGGATTTCTGTATAGCAACCTTTTCCTAACCTTTAAAAAAAATAAATAATAATAATAATCCAGATTGGCAAGCTTTCCAGTTAGCATAATCAAAGGGGCAGCATCTCCCAAATGCATATTGTATCTTGTATTTATAAACCTTTGGAGCCTCCAGACGGTTTTTATTTTTTTTAAAAAAAAGTAAAACAAAAAACCTCAGGGCGGAATATGTGATGGCTCAGCGGTTGAAGACGTTGAGCTTGTCAGTTGGAAAGCTGACAGCCCAGGTTTGAGACCCGAATGCCGCAGGATGGGGGGAGCTCCCTGCTGTTTGCTCCAGCTCCTGCCCACCTAGCAGTTCGAAAGCATGCACATGCAAGTAGATAAATAGGTACCACTTTGGCGGGAAGGCAACTGTGTTCTGTGTGCCTCGGTGTATAGTCATGACAGTCACACAACCGCAGAAGTGTCTTCGGACAATACTGGCTCCCATAGGTAAGAAACATAAGCATCGTCTCGTAGAGTCGGACACGAATGGACAGAGGAAATCTTTACTTTTACTAAGACCTCGGTTCTGTTTTTCTCCTGCAGCCTGTTGGTTGGACAGCGGGTGTCAAAGAGTAGGAAAAAGAGATACATAGCAAAAAAGCAAGGAGAGAAAGATTATTCCCTTATTTCCTTAGGATTTGGCTGCTCATCTTGCCCACTTTTTGCTTCAATCCTCAAAGTCCCCTATAAATTACTCCTGAGAGGATGCCTTGACCCGAAAGGTGGGTGGGGAGAGGAGCTACTAGCCCTGTTTTGGGTGTAATCTGGTTGGCCACATAACTCAGGTTTTCAGCAGGGATTGTTGAAATAATTTAAATTAAATCATTTTAAACATAGGGACACATAGGGAAATATTTTGCAAAATATTCCCCTACGTATTAGTATTTTGCAAAAAATATTGGCCCCTTACAAAGGCCTTATGGGTAGGAAAGGACTATTCAGCTTTTTCCATGTACTTCAATTTTTTTTTTTTAAAAAAATATACCAGATAGTACTTACTAATAATGGACTGTTCTTACAACGTTACATCAGTACAAATTTAGAATTCCTGCATCTTTCATTAGGGCGGAGGTGGTTGGTTTTTCAGCTTATGTAGAAAAGATTTATGGGGAAGTCTCCAAATTTAGATATGCAGCTACGTCTCTTAGCATTTAATGTGTACAAAGCTAATCTTGGTATTGTCCCCTCGCCCATTTTTTGCCATCCAGTTGGAGAGACAGGGAAGAAAAATGGCAAAAACGACCAAGAGCTGTGCTATAATTCAGGCTTGCTTGAGTTGGTGTTTGAATGAACCTAGGTGCCAAGTAAAGAGAGAGAACAAATATAGAGCTGTATGGAGCAAAAGCTTCAAACTTACCTGTCTCAGTTGGACCCTATTCTGGTTTTAGGTGTGACGTTTGTCCTTTGCAAAAGGTCTGCATATGCAGAGCAGCAGCACCACGGCGGCAGCAGCTGTGTATTAAAATGTCACGTGGGAGATATTTGGCAGAAAAGTGTGAGGAAATCCCTGTATTAAGAAAGCCAACATGTGTATCAACCTGTATTAGATAGATAGATAGCTAGATAGACAGACAGACAGACAGACCTCTTTATTGGCCAAGTGTGATTGGACACACAAGGAATTTGTCTTGGTGCAAATGCTCTCGGTATACATAAAAGATACATTTGTCAAGAGTCAAGAATCATAAGGTACAACACTTAATAGAGGGTACAATAAGCAATCCAATCATACTAGGAATCAGTCAATATAAATCATAAGAATACAAGTGACAAAGTTACAGTCATATAAGTGGGAGGGGATGGATGATCAGGAGTGATGAGAAGATTAACAGTAATAGTAGTGCAGACTTTGTAAATAGTTGGACAGTGTTGAGGGAATTATTTGTTTAGCAGTTATGGCGTTTGGGGAAAAAAACTGTCTTTGTGTCTAGTTGTTCTGGTGTGCAGTGCTCTATAGCGTCGTTTTGAGGGTAGGAGTTGAAACAGTTTATGTCCGGGATGTGAGGGGTCTGTAGATATTTTCACAGCCCTCTTTTTGACCCGTGCAGTATACAGGTCCTCGACTGAAGACAGGTTGGTAGTAATTGTTTTTTCTGCAGTCAAATTATCCTCTGAAGTCTGTGTATTAAGAAAGCCATTTAAATAGAACCCTGAAAGCAAACACTTTATGGAATATGAGGTCCTTGTGGCTCTCTGAATTGAAGAGGGTTGTCTTACTAGGGCAAGCCACTAGTATATAAAACCAAGAGCAAACCCCACTCCCTTTTAGCACTGATGATATTACCTAGTTTGGTAATGAGGCATCTTCAAGAAAACTATCAAGCTTATATAGAGCATCAAGGACCCCGCCTGAATTACAAATATTCCCTTTTTATCAGAAGTGGAGTAACAGGGAAGTAGTCAGAAATGAAAAGAAACCAGCCGGCCATCCATTGTTCAAAACCTTTCCACAACCCTGTTTTTGTGACTTCTGGAAATCCTCTCTCGCCACACATGCCAAAAATTGGAAAGGGGTGGGGGTCAAAGTTGACTGTCACTCTGAAACAAGACACACCTCTTTAAAATATAAAATTATTCAAAATATAACAAGCCTGGACACCCTGCACAGAATGGTCCAGATAGTTTTGCATCTGATCTGACATCTACTGGCCCAAAGAAAACTCCCATCCCTTGTTTGCCAGCTTCTTGCTCTCCCCACTCTAGAGGACCAGAAAAAGGAGGAAATGAGAATTTGGACTCAACAGGAAGCCACAGGAGAGATAGCATCTTGCTGCAGTCAAGAACAGAGAATATTGGAAGTTTAAAAAGAAGGACGTTTTTTTCAATTAACAGAAAACAGATAATCAGAGTTGGAAGGGACCTTGTAGGTCATCTAGTCCAAAATGAACCTGATTTTAGATCTGCCAAGCCCAGTTTTGTGTATTCACTAAAATACCCTCCTTCCCCCTCCCCCAAATGCGTGTCATAATATTTGTATGTGTGCATTTCAAGGGCTGCTTCCAGTTTATTGCGATGGCTTATCTGGGGTTTGTCTTGAACAGCTTCCAAGCTAGTCTACAAAGGAAGTCTCCGTTCACTTGTTTTCGAACGTTTTTTGCATTAGATTCCTTCCAGCATTCTGGATTTCTTCCAGTTGTTCTGTTCAGAGGAGATTTCTTACTGTTTGCCAGCCAAGCCAGTTTGCAAAAGGCCGAAGGGTGGGGATTTTGGTATAAAACGCTGTACTCCTCAGCTGCTGAAGTCAGATCTTGGATTGCTAAGTGAAAAAGGGCAGGACTGAAGGCGAAATAAATCTTCCTTTTTTGAGGTATCCGCTGATGAAGGTATCCAAGGCAGAAATGACCTATCAATTCGGATTATGTTGTAAGAACAGCAGTGGAAACTTTTCTCTAATTTAATGTAAGTACAGTTTGTAATAATGTTGGGGATGTTGCTGAGAGAGAAAATCCAACCAATTACATTACCTAGAGGAAATGGCTCTTTTATAAACATTGAAAATCTGGCATGCTTGTCAAAATGTTCTGCTTCTGGCTTCTATAACTTGCCTTTCGAAGGGATATACTGTTAGAAACCTTTATTGTTGTATTTTGGTGGGTATGATTCATACTTCTATTTTTACCAAACCAGGAAGCAATTACTGGTACATGGAAGGGTTAGCAAGCCAACTAACTAAAAGGAGAACTCTCCAATTCTGGATGGAAGGAGGCTGATTCCTGGGACCCAAAGGCTGCGTTAGGTTTAGAGATAAATAACTACCGCATTAAAAAAAAACAACAACCAGTCTTCTAAAACTGAAGTCAAAGGACTTTGACAGACTGTTTGTCTGAATTAGCAAGTCAAATGGGAGAGCCCCAGAGGAGAAACAGGACTTCCAATAGCAAAGCTGTCACTTTGAATGAGAAGTGAAAGCAGGGCTGAACCTCTGCACCAAAAACCAGAAGCCACAGCCACTGGGATTCTCAGATGGCCGTTCTAGAGACTCTATAGAGCAGCTTTTCAACTTTGGCAACTTGAAGATGTGCGGACATCTGCTGGCAAAATTTTGCATGCCATTTGGGGAATTCTGGGAGTTGACGTCTGCACAAACCCATCATGGCTGATCTTCCCGATTTAATTGCATTTAATTTTTTCCACATTTTAAAATGTCTAGGGTTTGGGGATGCCTAGCTGCTCTTGATCCCAGTTGGGAGTGGCTGCTTTTAGCTATATAAAAATGAAACACCACTCACGCGTCATCACAAAATCACCAGAACCGTAAAGCCTACAACTTTGAAATTTGGCACATATGTTCCTCTTGCCTTCTAGGTGCTCACTAAGAGAGGATTTTTCAAAATGACCATCAGAGCACTTATTATTTCGTGTATTATTATTATTAACACGCCCTGATGCTAAGGAGATTTACTCCCCCTTCCCACCTGAAAAGAAATCTGTTCCAAATGCAAAACACGAGCAGAGGAGTTTCAGAGCACCAAGCAGCTTTAGTACAGAACAGTTGAGCTAAACCATGCCCAGACTCCTTGCTGTCTCCATGCTCACAGAGCAAATACTGCTTCAGTTTCCAAACAGTTCTCAACTCTCTCACACTGACAGGCCACTAGCCAGATGAAT